CACACACACACACACACACATTCAATCGTCCTTCGGTTGATGGAACAAGATCCTGCTTGGTCAACCACTAGCGTGTCACGCGCGCACGTGTACAATCGCCGCCTAAATGCTCACACGGGCGCACTTTGTCGCGTGGCTTATAGCTCCATTTTGATTGGTCCAGAGAAAGAGGTTAAACCGTAATGTGCTGATTGGTTGGTTATTCAGTGTTGATTTGAATAAGAAACCGGCGCACTTAAGCAAACGGGCTTGATTTTACTAAAGCTCAAATTCGCTAGTCGATTTCACATCTTCCCTTCCTGTGGAAGGTCGGATCGGAGAATTCATTAAATCGAATTATTCAGTTAAGATGGACAATAGGCTATCTGGACATATCACTACGGATCCGCCACCACCACTGTTGTCCGCTTTGAATCCGGCACCTGGACGTTTCAAACCTCGTGCACGACTGCTCACTATTCGACCGAGACGCAGTCCACGATTGTGTGCCCGAAGCATGGAAGAGCATTCGGAAAAGTTTGTGAACGCACAGCCGTTGAAGGCTACCGATACACTCACACTGCCCAAATATCAACCATGCCCCCGGACCGACACGAATGTCGTCGTACCATCACAGACACCTTGTTCAAACAAATATCCACAACCAATTCAAAAATTTATGAAACGTATTAGTGTGCGCTTCTCCCAAGCTCCGAAAACGGATTCTCAAACCAGTGAACCGCCTAAACGTACCCCGAGTCGATTCAGTTTCAACACATGGCGCCGTCGAAAATCGCTGTCACAAATTGAGAATAAAATTGAACGGGATCGTTCACCAATGAAAGCGGAACGGATGGCACTGGACGAACAATGGGCCTTATATCAATCCACCGATCTCTCAGTCGAGGAGAACTGTTCCGTGGAAAGTTTACAAATTGATCCGGAGGAGAAAGAGAACGATCCGCATCGACGCGGACGTGAAATTCAAATGTGGATGAACAAGCGCCGTAGTCTATGGAACTTTTCTTTTTCGTCCACGAGTTCCTCGTCCACGTCCAGTGTGAATGCTGCGCCGGGGCAAACACTTCGATCAAGTGTTTCATCGGCCTGTTCACCATGTGTCATGGACACCGACACAGTACCCCGATCCGAATCGGATACGGATATCAGCCGTCCGAGGCCATTGGCCACACCACACCCACGGAAACGAAAATGCACCACCTACGCACGTCAGTCTATCCTCTCCCATCATCGAAAGCGAGGGTAAGTACGCATGTTTGTTAGTGATCACGTCGGGGGATAGGTAAAGGCTATCTCGTGACTTCCATTTCGCCTGTTCGCCGAGCCCTGGCAATTTGTTTGCAAACATTTCAGCACCAGCCGAGGTGACATCATCAGCCAATTCACAAGCACTGATAATCTCACCTCGGCGGGTGATGAAACGTTTGCAAACAAATTGCCAGTCCTTCGGGGACAGGCGAAATTGAATCCAGTTCATCCGAGAGTAACGAGAGCCAATTTTCAACATTTTGTCAACGCTGTCGTGACTTTACAATAGTCTAGCCCATTCGTGTTCGAGGGCAATTGAAGTCCAGTGGTGGGAACCGGTGAAGTAGGTTGTCCCGGATTGGTGGTTCACATTAGACGCGAATAGAAAAAGTGTGCAATCGAGTCGGAATGAAATAGCGTTGTCGAACGTTGGGGGAAAACAGGCTAGAAACTGTGACTAACCCTGTCAAACATGAATTAGCTAGTGGTGTTTTCAAATCCATTGAAGGAATTACTTTCGGTCAAAAATTTCCGGTGAACGTTCATATTTTCTGATGAAATTGATGGCAATAAGGGAATTCCCAATGCTAGATTGGTTCTTATTTCAAACTGTCGTAAGTCGACAATGAACGACATATCGGATCGCCTAACCGGATCCGACAGGGAAATCTTATCCACACAAAAACGGAACCGTTTAAACAACAATACAGCCACGTGGCCAAGGTGACAATGTCCCACTCTCAAGTTGAGCCTGTTTGAGAGTGGGGCAATAGAGAAATAGCTTGAGATCAATGCAGCACTCATTCACAGACGTGTTTCACCTACACCCGTTTGTAAACCGATGTGCTGTGAGTTGGGCGTGTGTGCAACCTGACTCAAGTGTCCTCGCATTGAGAAAGCAGGCCACCACCAGCCCCACTGTCTCGTCCGGAACGGTACACGTGCCCGTGGAGTCCGTGGGTAGTTCGCGTGCCGGCACATGTGCAGACGTGGACCCGTTTTGGAGGGATAGTGGTGGTGGGGGGTGGGGTGGGGTGTTGGGAACGACACAGACATCTCGTCCCAGACTGTGGGTGGGTGCGAGGGTGGTTAGTGTAGTGAGCACTCTAGCCTACCCGCGTGTGTCTCTGTGTGTGTGTGTGTGTCCCAGGGTCGAAGAGGTTAGACGAATTCTTGATTAGATGAACTGATCCAGTTCACCGGGATTCTCCGGCGTTTTGAGCTGGCGTGCTTGGACTTGGATCTGGCCCCCCCCCGTACCCTCACTCACGTGCCAGCATGCTCACAGTCTGGTGGCATTGAGCAGCTGGAATTCATTTGCCCATGCGTTCGCTATCACAACCACTCACTCACCCACTCACTCATCCACACAAACACATTCTCATCCGATCGGCTCACCGGTCTGACACCGACCATATGGAACGCAATATTGCTTTGTTGAACAGATCCGGACTGAGTGAGCACATGTGGGACAAAGCAGTCCAGTCAGCAGTTTATGAGTCACTACTACTATCGGTACGCGACAGGGTGCCGGGGAAGCACACTGGCCACTGAGACAGGTGGGGATAAACCGGGATAAAGTTTAGTTACCGATGTCTTGTCTAGAACTCACAAAGTCCGTGAAGAACTAACTGCAGTCAGAAAAAACTATTTCTAATCTCCCAATTCCGTTTTGTCCTTCCTCATTCTCACAGGTCCACAATTAGCCAACAGTCGAACACTATCGAGAAGGCGAACAGTTCCTGCTCCGTTGACGCTGGCGACAATCCCCAACCGCTGAGGAGTAGAGCTGGTTCAATCACTCCCACATCCTTATCATCATCTGTCCCGGTTCAGGAAAGGGGTCCACTCTCACCGGTCCAAAAGGATACGCGCGGACGACGTCTCACATTCCTCGCATCATCTCCATCCGCACAAACTAGTCCGGACGTGTGGCAGTCAGGTGATGATCGTCTGTCCCACTGCTCACTCGATTTGACCCTCACACAGTCCGGATGGTCATCCGGGGACAAACCGCATGGCCACGACTCCGGTCTGTCGTCCGAAGTGAGCACCAGTTCTGGCCGGCTCGTGGAATCGACCGATCTGACCGGTGAGCCCGATCCTAACGAGGCGAATACGGCCACTGGGAAAGACGGATCTTCGGCCTTGACCCTGCAAGACGTGCCTGCCGGGTCCTCTCCATCCTCGGCGCACATGCGTCGATACACGGTGCGCCCTGGTTCGCTGATCAAATCCAATGATATCAACTGGAATAACTGCCTACGTCGCTCACTGGATCGGGCCGGGCGTCAGTGTCGCCTTTTGGTCGGTCGAACACTATTCAATAAGTACGTTTTGGAGTTATAATGATTTCGTATCTGAATAAATACCATGCATGCTCGATAGGTGAACAATATGGTGATCATTGGTAGGGCCAACGATAGTAATGAATTCCCCCCACCCACCCACCTCTCCGTATGGTGATATGAAACAATGCGTAAGACACCCGAATCCCCGTGGAAATGGTTGTGTATGTCTCGTGCATGGAGACTCGATCGCATAAAACCCAGTCTGCTAAAAGTACACCTTCGATGGGGGCATTTTATCACGCAGTTCCATCGCGTTTGATTGTTGTTACTTCCTATTCTCGGACCTGTATGGTCTCCAGTAACGCTAGTACAGATTCTAATCATTATTCTAATCATCACCTTTTTCAGAAATCCGGTCGAGGGCATGCAATACATGTTGGATCACGGACTACTTCCTCGTGTCCCGGAAGCGATTGCACGCTATCTGTTCAAAGAGACCGAGTTGAGTCGCCAAGCGATCGGAGAGTACTTTGGCACTCTGACCGACAGTTTGGCTTCGCTTGTGCTCAGGTAAGCCATGCCACGGTGCACATATTGGCCCATTGCCGAGTGTTTGGATGTCACGTGGGCACTACGTGTGTGTGTGTGTGTGTGTGTGCATGCATAAGCGCGCTCATTCATTCTGGAATATTCTGTTCTCCCTTTTTCAGAGAGTATCTCCAGCTGATGAACATGCACAATTTGGAAGTGGACGAGGCCTTGAGGGTGGTTCTATCGCATTTTCATCCTGTGGTAAGTGAATCCTTGTTGTGTATCGTTGTTGTTGTTGTTGTTTCCGAGTAATTTTCTGAGACGAACATGTTTATCCGAAGAATGAAACGGTTATTCTGCTTGAAGTGTTTACGAACTTGGAACAGCTGATCCACGATTGTCGGGCGCTGTGTCTCGCCTAGATCGTGGACACATTGTTTGACATTGTTTTCATCCGACTGACCTTCTGTCTTTTCTCTCTGTGTGTGTGTCATCTTTGGCAGGGCGAATCGCAGAAAATCAGTCATCTCATGCAAACGTTTCAAGAAACGTATACCGCACAAAATTTGGAACGGGTAGCTGAGCGATTTCGCAGTCCGGAAACAATTGAGATCCTGGCCTATTCGGTCATTCTGTTGCACACTGATCTGCACAATCCGAACGTGCGGCGTGTGGGCAAACGGATGAGCAAGGCTGAGTTTGTCAGTAACAACCGCGGAATCGATGCCGATCAAGATCTGCCCCTGGAGATGCTACAGGCGATTTACGATCGTATTGCGGAGACACAGTTCAAAACACTGCCGGATCCGTACGACCGTCTGCGCAGTCTGGACACATTTCTAACCGGGTCATTAAAGACTGACAATTTTCTTCAACGACATCGCCGTTTTGTCGGTTGGGTATCCGGTCACCAGCTGGACTGTATCGTCACCCGTCGTTCACCAAAACGACCCCATGGACGTGCTCGTCATTTCTTCGTGTTCAATGATATCCTGGTGGTGGCCAAACCGGTCACGGCTGGGTCATTGCTCAATTTGGCCGCGGCCGCTGCAACTGTGGACAACACGGTCAGTACCACAACCACCGGCAGTACTGTGAACGGCGGAAGTAGTGGAAGCATGGCCAATATGAATAGCAGTAATCAGCAACTGAACAGCAGTGTGACCAGTATTGCCGCGGCTGTCACTGCAACCAATATTCGACGGAAATCGTTACCCACGGACAGTATAGTTGAGCACCGGCTACGACCGCACACCAGTGTCGATTCAGCCGGGAAACTGACTTGTTCCACTGAGCTGGTGACCAGTGGAACATATCACGTTCGTCTCGTCTTACCGTTGGCCGATCTTCGCGTGTTGGTATTCGAATCTCAGTGTGAGTTGTGTTTTATTTGTCCACCTGTAATTTCGCTCCTTCTAACAGTTAGATTAAATGCAATAAGTGACACAATTAGGTTCAGCTCAGTTCAGTTTTTCACAACCATTAAACATGCACTTTCGTGCGCCGGTTTTGTTTACCCATTGGGATCACAGAGCAGGATGAAGATTGGAATGTTGAAAGCTAATTCAAGAGAAAGATAGATAATCCATATAGACTACTTGTTAGGAGAATAATGAGTAGATGCACTAGCGTCACTGTCTACAACACCCAGCCGTATTGCCCAGTGTATCTAACCATCGGTGATCATGATCTCGGGGTCCCCAGACAGAGAGCCTAACGGGGCCTATGTGACCTAGTCTCCTGGTTAGGCTTTTCATACTTTCATGCCAGGTCTTCGTTTGACCTTTTCCAACCGCTGCCTGTCTCGGCAAACATGGCCCTCCGTGGCAAAACATTTGGTGACATGTGTAACACATGACCCAACCAACGTATTCTACGGACGTGAGTCACTCTTTCCAATGGACGACCATGACTGCTTAAAACTCTACGCCTAACCTCAGCATTCTTCGTCCGGCTGTCCCACCAGACTCGGACAATGCGACTTGCACACCGGTGTTCGAACACTGAGAATCTGTTTTTATCCTGTTCCCGCAGTGGCCGTTATTCATTCACCGGATTAGATGTAGCTGCCCAGATAACAAAACTTGTCCACTTCCTTCACTGCTTCCCCAGTCAGTGTTAGACTGGGTGCCGGACCAACCCAATCGTGTAGTAACATTTTACACTTTTTCAAGGTGCAAAACGTACACCGAACATGGCTACACTAGCACTCAAGTGATGCAGTACCGCAGCTGGACACGTTTGTCCCACACTTTTGAAAGTGACAAGTAGGGAACCGGTGTTTTGGTAGACCAACAACATGGTTTGATACTAAGAAAACCATTACAGGAAATACAAGCTGCCTCATTCTATTGTGATTGTGAGTAGAAAAGCAATAATCCTATTGCTCTCTAATCGTTCATATGACATGGCCTTGTGAAACGGCAAATATCGTTACGAGTGTGCAATTACACTGTGAGAATGCGGGTCCCAGATGAGGCCGTGCTAATCCGGACCAAAGTCTCAACTATGATTGGCATATTCTGTTCCACTCGGGTGATGATGACAATGTGGATCGAACCACAGTACTCATTAG